TTTTTCCTCCCACGCCAGGTGTCTACTGGTATTGTCCAATTCTCTACCCTGCGCCCCCGCCCCCTCCCTGCGCGTTCTCTGGGCCCACCATCGTTCTAGTTAATTGTAACTTCTACCCCCCCGCCTCCTCGTCCGCGCCGCCTCTCCATCCATATCTAGTTAATTGTTAAATCCTACCCTTAGCCCCGCCCACCGCCCGTCCGTCCCCCTTGGCCCCCCTGTCTTCCACCATGGTAGGTAATTGTAAACTTCTACCCGTCCCTCCGCTGCCGCGCTGGTCTTCCCACCATGTTCTAGTCAATAACTCTACCCTCGCCCCCGCCGCGCCGCCCTTCCCAGCCATGTCTAGTTAATTGTAACTTCCTAACTGCCCCGTCCCCTCCCGCGTCGCCTCCACTCATCCTCCCCCCTTCTGTCAATGTAATTCCTACCCTTCCCCCGGCTCGCGCCGCTCTCCACCATGTTCTAGTTAATTGTTAACTCTCCCTACCTGCCCGCCCCCCCCCGCGCTTGCCTGCCACCAATGTTTCTAGTAATTCGTAACTTCCTACTCCTCCCCCGCCGCCGACCGCCTCCCACCATGCTCTAGTTAATTCTGGTAACTCCTTACCTGTTCCCCGCCCCCTCCCCCCGCGTTCCGCTTCCCACATTGCTCTATATTTAATGTAACTTTTACCCCTCCGCCGCCGCACTCGCCTTCCCACCATGTCTAGTTAATTGTAACTTCTACGCCTCCCCCGCCGCGCCGCGCGGCTTGTCCTCCCACATTTTTACTCTAGTTAATTTGTAATTACTCCTACCCCTCGCCCGCCGCGCCGCCTGCCACCAGTTTCTATGTTAATCTTAACTCTTACCTCCCCCGCCGCCGCCGCCCTCACCATGTCTACGTTATTGTAACTCCTACCTGCCCCGCCCCCCCCGGCAGCCGCCTCCACCAATGTCTAGTGTAATCTGTAACTTTACCGCTCCCCCCGCCGCACCGCCTCACCATTATCATGCCGTGGTGGGGCCGAGCATTTCGTTCTAGTAATTGTCAACTTCTACCCTCCCCCGCCGCGCCGCGCGGGGTTCCTCCCACCATAAAATCCTAGTAAATTGTAACTCCTTACCTCTCCTCCCGCCGCGCCGCCTCCCACCATGTCTAGGTTAATTTAACTCTTACCCTCCCTGCCGCGCCGCTACCCACCAGTGTCTAGTTAATTGTAACTCCTACCCTGCCCCCGCCCCCCCCCCGCCGCCCTCCCACCAATGTTCTAGTTAATTGCTTATACTTCTACTTCCTTCCCCTCGCTCGCCACCGCCTTCCACCTATGTCTTAGTTTCATTGATAACTTCTTACCCTCCCCCGCGCGCGCCCGCGCGTCCCACCATTTATCTAGTTAATTGTACTCCTACCCTCCCCCGCCGCGCCGTCCTCCCACCATGGTCTAGTTATATTTAACTCTTACCCTCCCCTTGCCGACGCCGCTCCCACCATGTCTAGTTAATTGTAACTCCTTACCCTGCCCCGCCCACCCGCGCCGCCTCCCCCCATGTGCTAGTTAAATTGTAACTCTACCCTCCCCCGCCCTGCGGTCCTCCCACCATGTTTAGTTAATTGTAATCCTTACCCTGCCAGCCCCACCGCGCCTCCACCATGTCTAGTTAATTGTAACTCCTACCCTGCCCAGCCGCGCCACCTCCCAACATGTCTAGTTAATTGTAACTCCTACCCTGCCCCGCCCCGCCGCGCCGCCTCCCATCTACTCGCTTACCTTCTTCGTCTTTGGGAAGCGAAAGACCTTGTCGAGAGGCGTCGACGGTGTGGACTGCGCGCTGTCGATGCCAGGTGGCGCCGGCATCGAGTTGGACTCGTCGGCGGACAGCACGGCATCGGAGCTGGCGCTCTCCAGCAGACTGTGCCGCTTGGCAGGCGTCGATGCGTTCCTCCGTCGCTCCTTCCTCCTGCAGAACAGAGAGAAATAATGAGAGAGGGACCAGGAGACAGAGAGAGACCGAGAGGTGGGGGGAGGAGAGAAGGAGAGGGGGAGAGAGAGAGGGAGGGAGAAAGATAATGTGAGGGAAGGAGAGAGAGAGAGAAAGTGAGGGAGGGAGGGAGGGAGGGAGGTAGGGAAACAGGGAGAAGAAAAGAGAGAGGGAGAGAGAGCGAGAAAGAGAAGGGGAAAGGATAATAGCTGCTAGGACTGCTAACAAGATGTAGTGATGCGACTGAGTCACTCACCCCCGCGTTGGCCTCCCCCTCGCCACCGGCGTTCCTGCTGCCGGCTTGCTCTCCTCCTCCTCCTCGGCACCGGCAGCTGGCTTCCCCTCCTGCGCCGCTGGCTCCTCTTTCTCGACCTTCTCCTTTGGGGGCTTCTCCGTGGAGCCGATGCGGACGAGGGCCTCGCGTCGCCGCTGCTCCTGCTTCTCTAGCTTGGCAAACGCACGCATGATCGCCTGCATCTTACGCTCCTCACGCGTCTGCAACGAGAGGTCACAGAGAAGTCAGTGATAGATGGGATGGGAGGCTTAACCCCTTCCCACAACCCCTGCCCCCAGTAAAACTTTCTTCCACAAACCCACCCCACCACAAAACAAGTGCTGCAGTGCGACAGGGCTCATCTGGTGTCTGGTGTTCTGCCGATAAATTCATTTGTGCATAGCAAAACGTCTTATACATAAGTCTTCTTTATTCTTGTTTGACTTTCGTAGCCAATTGGAACAAATATATCAGCTACACTTTCGCACCCACCTAATCTCTATGCATTGCAGACACATGTGCATTGCAGGTTGGCAGGCAACAATTATTATTAGAAGCGTGCCAGCCATGGGCTGCCCGGTGTTTTTGCCTACCCACACGAGCATTCACTGATTCAGCCTTTACTGCAGCAGGGGCAGATGCAGGATTTTGTCTAGGGGGGTTGCAGGTGGGAAAGGGCACTTTGAGATTTTGTTAGGGGCAACTGAAGCGGCGGCTGCGCCGCCGCTTCGTGCGCGAGGACCGTAGGTGCGAAGGAACCGGTGGGGGGTCAGGGGGGGCTCCCCCAAATTAAAAAAAAAAATCAGACTCCTTTTTATGCATTTTCAGAGCATATGAGGCGAAATTTTTGTACTTCAAGTCTTGTCATAGCAATGAAACAGACAATTCCAGTACAAGGCAAAATCCACAAAGCCACATAAACCATCAACTTGCTTGAAATTAACTGCCAACAGAGCGACAAAATACTAGTACCCGGTGAAATCAAAACTGCGATATGGATTGAACACACTTTTATTACAAAAGAAAATTAAAATCATTACATGTACTAATTTATATGCTTTCCGTTTCATACATTTACTATAAAACTTGAACTTCAACTTGAATTTCAATGACTGATATATTATCTTACTTAAAACTAGACAGGTGAGACACGTTAGCGTGATGGTGCGAGACAGGTGAGACCCGTTAGCGTGGTGGCCATGCTACTCTGTTATGCCACGTTAACCAGAACAACCCAGAAGAAACACAAGGTGGAGACACGACGCGCGATGATAAAATCTACTGTAGAAGTACTAGGATTCTTTCCTTCCTGAGAAGATACATGGAATAAAATAAGTCAGAGATTTTCCGACCAACGAGTCGAGTCGTCTTTCCCCTGAAGAATTTCCTTGAAATTGCTGTATGCAACAGTACTATTGTAGCAGGGCCATATTTACGGCACTGCGCGCTTAGCAACAACGCTTACGACTTGGCTAAAAATATAGGCGTAACAAACGGGTGGGGCTAGGCCCACTGTTCCACTATCGCGGTAGTTAGGTAAAACAGGTGTAGATTACGAGCGTTTTCATGGCATTGCTGATCTTCACGTTACACGAGACTCTCACCTCCTGCGGGCGACAAGCACGGACTGTGCTGCCCCCCGGGGCTCAGGCACTCGCTGCTCGCCTGACCCTGGTCCTCGGGGTTGTTGTCGTCGAACATCGCCTGCCGAAGCCAGCGCTGAAAAACAACCGAACAGCGGTAGGCGCAAGGCGACAGCACGGTTAAATGGAGGCACAACCACAGCGATTCCTACACATTAGGCACCTCAGAGATTACTCTCCCATTCCACTCTATCGCACATAATAAGTGTGTGGTGCAATCTACCTGTCTATGTGGTGCCAGGAACTCACATCACCAGAACGACCCAACTAAAATGTTTCTATTGTTTCCATCAGGCACAAGCGAATAAATAACACAGGCAAAGAACCCATGCATGACAGCGCCACCTACCTTCTTCGCCGAGCCGAGGCTGGTGTCAGGCGGCAGGTCGGCTTTCCGGGCGCCGACGGATGCACGACGGAAGTGCCCGGTGGCGCCCCCGCCCCCGCCGTCGCCGCGCTGCGTGGTCGTGCGCACGTAGCAGGTCGGGCTCGCTGTGACAAACTCCGATCGCTCTCCTCCCGTGCGCACGCTGAGGGATCGTGCTGCCGCGTCCCCCGCCATCGCCGTTGTTGTCGTCTGCTCCGTCATCCACTCGCACATCAGGTGCTGCGCGAGACAACAAGAGAACGTCAATCAGTGCCAATACGATTGCGATTAATCTCGGACGAATTTCACTTGTGACGATGCTGGCGAATCAATATGACAACGTTGACACGATTTGAACCAACTAACACAAAATTAACTCCTACCCTCCCCTGCCGCGCAGCCTCCCACCATGTCTAGTTAATTGTAACTCCTACCCTGCCCCGCCCCGCCGCGCCGCCTCCCACCAATGTCTAGTTAATTGTAGCTCTTACCCTCCCCCGCCACGCGGCCTCCCACCATGTCTAGTTAATTGTAACTCCTACCCTCCCCCGCCGCGCCGCCTCCCACCATGTCTAGTTAATTGTAACTCCTACCCTCCCCCGCCGCGCCGCCTCCCACCATGTCTAGTTAATTGTAACTCCTACCGCCCCCCGCCGCGCCGCCTCCCACCATGTCTAGTTAATTGTAACTCCTACCGCCCCCCGCCGCGCCGCCTCCCACCATGTCTAGTTAATTGTAACTCCTAC